GTGCATTTCGTTAACTATTACCAATAGAATGTATATATACGTGTATAATAGAATGCTTTGTAATACTGATATATCTGTGATACATTGGAAACTTAGTTTGCTCTCGTCCAAGTCTGCGTGAAGTTATACCTCCAGCAGTAATTTAGATTACAAATTTCTCTCTTTAATAAAATAAAGTTAAGTAAAATCATTACATTATATATATATCTTTGCGTAAAGTACTTTATGGGGTGGGCAGAGAATGATTTGTTTTTTACAATTTATAAACATCGAATAAGTATTATGCTTATCGCCTCATCTACTCTATTCGATTTATAATCGAGACAGTTTACATCTAGTAACAAGTGGCGACGCTACCGGCACCATAAAAGCGAGCAGTATCAAGCCAAGCATCGTGTACTCGCCATATAAGCCGAGACAAACTAGCCGAACGTCCAAAAATAATGCTTTGGCTCATCATTAACCCCACAATGCGACGCGATCGGTTCGTGCTTTGTCTTTTTAGTCGGTGACGCAATTCATACCGAAACGGAACAATAAAATTTCAAGCATCGGCAATCTACTTTCTACTTTACCCACAAGCGTATAAAATACAATTTCGTTGGGCATCAGTGCTGTTGATCTCCAAAAGAATTGTTCGTTGACAACAGAGACATCGATGCTGTCTTTTTTTTGAGTATCGATTGTAAAGAGCATTCTCATACCGCTGTGAGAACTTTCATGAGTCAAAGTACTTAAATTCCTTCCATTATAATCTTTGTGTGCGGCTTACAATCGGTTGTCGATAGTTCTCGAGTACTCGATCTGGAAGCGAGATTACTATCGGGCATTTCGTTAACAACGTGACAGGTTAATAGTCACTGTCTTGGGTTAATCTGGTGGTTAACTGTGACTTTTTAACTGGAATAGGGCTTAATTGAGTGTGAGAAATTTTTTTACACACAATCTTACGAAACTGTCAATGGCAGGGTGACGAAACAGGTGTTATAATGGGAAAACCACAGTTAGTGAGTGAGATCTAAAACGACTTAACATTATGAGAGAGATCGTAAGTATATGATTCCTTGAGGAAGTTATGAGAGTAGATGAAACAAGAGATGTAAGGATAGAGACCTTTACCACTCAGTCTATCAAACGTGAAGATATAAATCAAGCCTGAATAATCTTAACACACAATTGTATCTGGCGCTGGAAAAAGACTTGTTATTGCAAGTTATTTTTGTTGTTTTCGCCTGATCATTTCCGCATTGCCTCAAGGAAAAGATATCAACGCATTTAATGCTGCTTATCTACAGTTTAATGCAATATTCTAAAGATTTCTATGGTAAATGGTAAACGTTGTATTATCTTTTGAAATTATTAAAGTAATTAATTTTTTTTATATTTTAATTTCCGATCAAAAATATGGTGATATTATAGGTATAAATTACAATAGTAGGTACATATAGTACAATAGTAAGTATAAATTACATCTACCGGAATAGCCAAGTAAATAACAAGAACTTTGTACCTTTGTACCAGTTATAAATGTATTTATGTTTTCTTTTTATTTATGTTTTAGCAATACCTAAAGAAACAAATTACTATAGGTAAGATAGGTACTTAATTAAAAAAAGACTCTTGGGAATTGGTTTAGGTATACCTTTATGATACGTTGTTAAATTAACAAAAAAATTTAATAAAATCTATATTAATTTAATAGATGAATTATGACCTAGTATCTACATACGGCTGAGTATATAACACTTATAGGGAGATTGATAAAGAATCTACTTTATTGGTGTAATGGTAATTGGGACCCCTCTAATAGATAGGAGTACATCTATAAATAAATTATTGGTACGTGTTAACAAACGCATTAAAATAGTGTTTAATTTCAGACACACCTCAAAATTGTAAAATAATTCGCTAATCTAGTTGGACAGGTTTGAAAATTACGAAATTCGTAACGCACGTCCTCCGCCAGTGTGGTCGAATCGCCATTCATTTGATCAACAAAAGAGACATTCAGTGTCTACTTGGCACATTTTTTTGTACCATAAACGTCCCGTTTGTTTCACGATATTGTGAGCAAACATCGGTTTGCTTTGTGACACTTTTCACTAACAATAACGTTACTCCCCGTAGTTTTACATAAAGCAGTCCAATTTCGGTGACAATATGGCCCTAATATGTTTTGATGGGCTGTTGTTGTCTCTCGTTATGCTTGATTGGGAGTTTACAGCCATGACGGAATGCCGTTGTTGTAGCTTATTGTCGACATTGAGCTGTTGTTCTATTATTAAGGAATCATTTGTTAGAGATGCATGTCGCACGGACCCGTTAAGCCTAAACCAACAGTATTTCAGTTTGGCGTAGGGATATTAGACGTAAATGAAACTGCAGGTTCATTTTTCTATTAGATGTAGGTAAGCGGAAACATTTAAGTGAATATGAGCCTTATATACTAAATTACATAAATCTGCCTATACACGACACTAAAATCAGGGATAAACTTAGAGTAGGTACTTACTTTTAAACTTTTGCGTTCAGTGCACATTATTAATATAGTTAATGGGGTTTTAACACGACTTTTAATTTGACATTATAATGATAGTAATTGAACAAACTGCGACCTACCGACGATGTCGTCGCTGCACTGCAGTCGGCAAGTGATCACGGCTATTGCAACCTAATGAAATGAACCGTAAATACCTTATTTTCTATAAAATTATTCGTGCTAAAACCCAGTTAACTATTTTAATAATATCGATGTAGAGCAAAAGAACGCTGGAGGGAGGGCTCTGGATCGCTTCCTATATCGTGTTGTATTAAGAAGATCGGAGCCGATTTCACACAGTGTGCTGTCCGAACCAATTTTATCCTCACTCCACGTTTTTAGTTTGTTTTGATTAGTTTTCTGTTTTTAGTTTCGTGTTTAGACCTATTTTAGGGATCGTTAGAAAATTGTGTGGTAGGTAATAACTATAAGGTATGAAAGAGACAGAGACTTCTCTGCGTTCCTATAGATAAAGTCCTCTGAAATATGAGTTACAACCTGTATAAATAAATATCAATAATAACAACCATACCAAGAGGGCAGTTTACAATTCTACAATCCCTATCCTATTAATAATATAAACGCTAAAGTTTGTGGGGTTGAATGGATACATGAAATTTTGTAAGTCTTTCACGTAGAAACTATTGGACGGATGTAGTTTAAATTTGAGATACAGATAGATCCTAGATAAACGTCCTATGTAGGATGTTTTTTATCAGAATTTATGTGAGTAGCGTAGCGAAAAACACATAGTTAAAAATATATTACCAATCCTTAGGACTGGCAATATATTTTTAACTACACAATAAGTGTAGGTATTTAAAATTAAGTAAGTAAGTTAAAATTACAATTAAAATAAGGAACATTCATAATTACACTCTGATACAATCTGTTGTTGCATCGAGTTGCATGCCCTGTGAGATGGACCTCCACGCGATTGAAATCATCACCATGGACGATCTTTGTGAGTTGGCCAATAGGATGACTGATCTGAGATTATACTTAATCCTTAATCCTGTAATCCACTGTTGCCATGCTAACATACCTATATCGCTAGCGCAGGCGAGACACCATATAATTATTATCCATTAAAATAAATCAAATTCTAGATTTACCTAGGGTTGCCAGCTCTAAATATAAAAACAGGATTTGAAGTTGCAAAACACAGGAAAATTCAGTTTAAAAACAGGACGCAGTAGGTAATAGAACTGCAATAGTTAAATTAATAGGTAGGTATATACTGAAATAGGTAATATGAAATTAAGGTAATTAAAATATTCAAATTTTTTAATAAAAGTATTTGTATAAAATAATACGTGTTGAAAACTACTTATCAATACGGGGGCATGAATAATAAATTAAAAAACCCAGGTCGCTGCTTAAAAACTTTTCAAAACGTCCCAAGACACTATAAAAACTAGGCATGTCCGGGCAAAATAGGACGGTTGGCAACTCTAGGTTCACCTATGTAAAAAAGTTTCAATTATAAAAGTAAAACTTAAAATTAATGGCTAAAACCAACTCCGTGTATTTACATTACATAATGACTAAAATTAGAATATGAGACGTTTAGAAAAAATACAATACATTAGATCACTTGGTATGGATATTTCATAAAAAATGTAACGGATGTAAATTATAAGTTACATTCTAATGACTTAATCATTGCATAACAAGAAGGTAATGTATTCGTTGGGGGTATAACGTGGAAACAAGACATAAGAGGCGGTGCGTAAGCCGGTAGCCGCGGGCGCACATAAATAACCGGCCACACCGCAAACAAGCCGTATTTACGACAATATTATGTTTTATACATGCGCCCATTCAGTACACGGAGGCTCTAATACGCGGCCTACTTAATAACCAGAACGTGCGGAAGGCGTAACCCGGTGGCAATCTCCCGTCTCGCTCGATGACGCTCCGGGCGCGCGCCTAAGCGAGACGAACAACCACAAATTTATTGAAACGAAAAAAAATCAACTGCTACTGCACTCCGCGTCCGTCTCTACAGAACTAGATACATTTTTCCACGTCGCCGTGTGTGAGCGAGAATAGCTGCGGAGGTAGTATGCACGACAGAGACAGATAGTGGTTCGCGAGTAGCGCGCGCAGCTAAGCGGCCGGTCATGTGGGCGCTGCCGGTGTTGCGCACGCGCAGCTACCTCGCCGCGGCCGAGTTCCACGCTCACGCTGCGTCGTCCGGCTCGGTTAGCCTGTGTGACCTTTACTTGGTGAACTTAGGAAGCGTCGTCCGCTGTGAAACGTCCATTAGACCCCCTTCGTCCCGCGCGACTCGAAGCCTCCAGCACACCATCAACAGTGCCGGAGCGAAAGGGATGGCTGGCGGTCGTCGGTGCCGTAGTTAAAGGTATTCGTAGAATGCGTGATCTGTATCGGGCGGGCGGGAGGCGACGCGGGGCGCGGGGTGCGTTCGGAAGCGGTGGCAGCTCCCATCGACTCCTGGGGTTATTCTTCCTCAGGCCACTGCTGCTCGAGCGACGTACGAAGCGAGCCAGTTTTTTCTGTCCACTGCACCGCACGCCACACACTCGTTAAGCCAGTGCCAACACGAGAAGTCGCCACTAATAAATTACTGTTTTTTACTTCACTCGCAACAGTCACCGCCGCGCACTCGAGTAATTTATACGTAAAAATAAACATTAATCAGTAATAATCGCAGTTGTTAGCGACCGAACACAGTGAGTACCCTAACATCTGTTCATATATTTTCCTTGATTTACTCGTTTATTCTCTTAATTCATTGATTCAATGTTCAAACTTGCACAATAGGTACTCGCACTTATAACTTTCGCTTGAAATATATTTTCTGATGTATTTTCTTATACAAGTATCCAGTTATTAGTAAATATCCAATTTGTTTCTAACAAAGAATTAAGAGAGTAAGCTATAAATTATAATTTGTTTTTATATCTGTGCAAATAATTATCATAAAGTTCGAATGATATCATTATGTGTAATTAAGATTTTTTTACATTGGTGCATATGATAATTTTTATCAAGATATTTGAAAGCAAATTCTATATAATATTATGCTTATGTTATGCGTTATTTATATTTATTTTAAATATATTTAAATGATGATGTTATAATATGTTTTATTGATAAATTACTGCAAGTGACAACAATACCAAATGTAAAAGTTATTACTACCAGCATTGTTTATAATCCAATATATTGAACTTATCTTTTTGAGATTATCATTGACACAATAACTATATAAATAATATCAAAACAGAATCCGATTTAAAGCTTGAAATATTAATAAAAAAATATTCCAATTAAAATTTCTGTGTAGGATAAAGTAAATATAAATTATGAAGGATTCGACATGTTATAAAAGGTTCCCATCCTTTCATATCCACAAACATGCGTTATTTGAATAATCGTGGCTATTATCATGTAAATGGTGTTTAGCGCCTCGCTCGGCGCTAGTCTCACAAAAAGGACAAAATATTGTCCTCGGTATTAGACTTTTTTTTCCACAAAAATGATGATGCGCACCCGATTTGGTCTCGCCATTCACTGTTCCATACTGACCATTTCGTAAATTTATGGTTTATTTAACAATAAAAGAAGAATGCACGTGGAATGTTTGGGATGTTTTTTGGTCCTAATACGCCTTTGTTGGTCGAAAGTTTTATATTGCAAGCATCATTAGATGCAGTTTTTGACACCTTCGAGTGGTTCCCGTGAGATCTCCGGATAATGTTGCTACTTAATTGATTTACACCTATTTATTTTACCCAATATCGTTATTTCAATTACCGTAAAGGTGTCAATTAGCCATAGAGAAATATTTTTTTATAAAAATAGAATACAGAAACTATTTTAATATTGCGTATTCTTAAAAGATTTAATAAATTTTACAATTATATTAATTATTTAATTGGGCGCTTTTTACCAATGCATATATTTTTTAATTATCCATCAAGAGTAATTTTTTTTTTAACAAAGAATACATAAATATAAATTCTGAATACTTACGATAAATAATTATACTTGTTCTTACACGAGGTTATATAGAACCTGTGTTTAACTATAATCTTAACTTACGCTGTCAGTAAGTTATTACTCATTCTTTCATTTGTTCATTTTTTATTCCTTGCAACATCACGATGTATCTATCTATTATATCTATATTTTGCCAGAATCGCTAAAAATAGATACTATACAATAGATAAACTTATTTTATTTATAGGTACACAGAAATGTCTTTAGGTATTTGCCTATATTGTTAGAGAATGTTAATCCAATTTGTAGATATCTTTGGATGATATTAAGTATATTTTATATGATATTAGAATAGATATTACACATTTAATTTTCAAAAATTAATATTTATTAAAGTGAGATATTTTATTTACGTCATGAATGAATTATAATTATTAATACGTATTTTTGTACACATAAGACTAACATATTTTATTTAAATAACATATTTTCTGTTATTGTGAGTAACTGGGACAGGTTACTATATATAATGGATATAAAAAAATGCATTAACATTATTATATAAAATTAAATATTTAAAATTTGTTTTATATTACAGTATTTGTTATTTTATTTATTTATAAAATCTTTATTGCACCAAGCATTTTACACAAGAATTATACAGAAAAGAGATATAGATGTATAAAAGTGGTCTTATCGCAAGTAATCTCTACCAGACAGCTATATAAATATGTATTTATTTAATATCTAACAGGTGTCATGTTAATTATTAGTTATAATTATTGAATTAAAAAAATATATATTTAAAAAAAAATGTCAAGACTGACACTCGCATTACGCGATTAAAATGTCAAATAGGCATAATTTTCATACAAATTAAAGCTTAAGTAGCAATAATTACGAGTATCTTACGAATGTGGCTGTATGAGTGCTTAAGCGGTTGTGATTAAATAAGGTAAACTGTTATAACTTTATTGTTCAACATCACACGCCTGAGGGCAACTAAACTTTACATACGAGAAGATACCCAATTACGAGTCTTATAGAGCTGGGGTTGGGTGATTTTTAATACAATACCAATTTAGGTATCAGATATAAGGATATCTCTCGATATTTACACTTATATTTTTTATATTCTTTTAACATGATTTTGGAATATAATAAAGTGATCCACAATGTAGTTTTGAGTCAATATATTATCAATATATGTCTACTTATAAACCTAATTTCTAATTAAATTTATTAATCTTAGATTATTAAGTTAAATATTATCTATAGGTTTCTAATGCGAACTTTTATCTAACCATTAGATATTACCAGACCTAGCTATTTATCTATCCACTTCCTACAAAAATCCATTTGTCTTACAAATTAAATTATAGTAAGTATTATAAAATTTGACATTTTAAGTTTTTGGTCATTAACTATCCACAATCATAATCCCACATAAGTACCTAGATAAAAAAAAATTGAATACTTATATACAGCAAAGACTCTATTAAAATAATTACTTGAATACATGATCATGATAAATATAGGTAAAATGATTTTATAATAAATGTTAAAGAAATCTAAACTTCATTTCCGTTTCTAATTATTTAAATATAATGCCGTATAGGTGCCGCGTCTTTAAAAATTGTGTTTGTTAATTGATAATGAAATGAGTGTCGGGCCCCTGGAGTATGCGTAACGCGGTGGCACACAGATGCCACGCGCCGCCCGCGCCTTACCAATTGTGGAGCAGTTTCGCAAATTAGTCGGATTATATTTAGACGATGATACCATTTTTTTCGTATTTTTATAGTCGCAAATTAGGATGGTTCACGCAAGGTCTCGTTCACATGTTAAAACATAATGTGGACTGTGATGTATTTTGCTTAAAATTCGATTTGTTTTAAGCGGAAACTTTTGAATCTTAGAAATATTGAAATTAAAAATTAACTTTGAACTTTAATGAAATGGTTGTTGCAACTTAGTGTTTACACTGTGACCATATTTAAGTTATTTTCTCCTATAGTACAAAATGTAGAGCACTACATTTTAAAGATATTAGGTATACTACCTTATTTGATTTACATATAAAACATTTTTTCATCTTTGATCATATTTTCAAATTAGTAATTTTTTTTAATAAATAATATTTTTAAAATAAAAGTAATCTAAGTTACTCCTTATATTGTTAGACATTTGAGATTGATGGTCCCGTCAAAATCGGCCCAAATATTTCAGAGATTAGCAAGTACAAACAGACAGGCAGACAAAATTCTTAAAAATTAAGTTTTCAATAGGTACCTTATATACAATAAATTTCGCATAAAAAAATCTAATAATTTAATAGATAGATAATGTAAGTCCATTTTAGTAGAAACGAGTGTTAAGAAAACCTTGTTTGAATCAGTAAACTGCAAACATTGAAAGAATAAATACAAAATCGCACCCAATATAAATTCAAATTTTTGAATTCCGAACGCATTTATTTGGGAATGTCGAGGACTCGCCGCATGACGCCTGCTGCGCACGCCACTTTCTTTCAACTTTGCCGAACCGCTGCACCAGCATCCTCTTCTTACGAATGAATAAAAAGACTATCACATACCTATCGATCTAAACTAAACTCTTAGTCATTTTTTCATTACTATAAGGTGGCCTATATTTAAAACAATAAATAATAATCCATTTAATAGTTTTTGAGATTATCGTGAACGTACAGACAGCTGTGGCGGGTTGACTTTATTTTATAACATGTAGGTAGACAATACCTCGTACTTCAATTAAAACAAAAAAATATGTTTAAATGTGACTTATTGTGTTTTTTATTTCGAACATGTTCCTATATATATAGAACATATTCAGTATTAACACATTGAACCATGTTTACAATCCACGGGGTGGAATATCCGAAGACAATGATTATTTATTGTCAGAAAGGCTTTTGTCCTGACGCCGCCGAACTCAGGCCGATATTATAACCATTTATAACATTCCAATTTAATACTGAAATGTTAATCGAGAACAGAATTGATTATAGTAGGATTTGATAGTATATTAATTTGTTTTTTCACTGTGTAAATATTTGTTAATATTATTTAAACATTCTTGGAATCGTTCACGTGGTTTGAATTTAGATTTCATAGACTATACGCGGTAGATCAGAGCAAAGAGATACAACAGAAATATTTTAATAATAATTGAATTAGGCACTATCCTTTCAACTTGGTTATACTAAATGCAATAAACTACTAATTAGATTTATGTAGTAATATTAGCCTCGGTGAATTAGGATTTACAGTATTGTAGCTATAGATTCAGTCTAAATAATCTATTACTTAAATATCCAACAATATTTATTGAAAAAAATATATTGTCTTAATCAAAATATAAAGGTTGAAATAGGAGCAGATTGAAATTTAAGGCTTTGAAATAATATATGACACGTGATTATATTATACTCGATGTTCGCAAATACAGTTGCAAAGAATAAACGAGTGAATGTAGCCCAAAAATGAAATTAGAAAATTAGTAATAATTTTATAAACTTTCATTCAAACTGAGGTGATAGATGATCAATTCAATCAATCGTTCAAAACATTATATTTTCAAATTACCACATTTACTTGAAAGTGGATCAGTGTCAATATTCTATTTGGATTTTTTGACTAAACCTGTAATACATTTTATATATAAATATAACAAGCATAAGCTTGTTACGATGTAAAAACAGACCAAA